TCCTCAGACTCTGCTTTCAGTCTTTCAAGCTGTGAGAAAAAACAGACATATTGCAAACAGAAAAAGCAGACTTTATTAACCTTATTATTGTGAAATGTGACTAAAATGTTTTATTGGGATCACAAAACTGTACAAAAACAAATTTAACTGCAAACTGCCAAAATAAGTTACAAAATGCCAGTAACTCTCAGGTGATGTATGTCTACAAGAGTGTCGAAATGAAATGTTTTGTCAGTAAACATCATTACCTGTGAGCTTATTTTTTCCTTCTGTGCGCTGCAGAGACTGAGCTCCTCTCTGATTTGGCTGAGTTCAGACTTAGCCTTGGATAGATCCGTATGTATTGCTTCCATCTCATGGCTGTGTCTGTTGTGCAAAGGTTATTCCAAGTTAAGCTTGTTCAAAACCGTTATTTGCTGACCTCCATAATGTCAGGTTACGTACTAAATGTGTGGGGGAAAAATACATAATATCACTCAGATGTCACATAATGACACAAGCACATCTCTTACCTGCAAAGGGTGTTGTCTTTGTCTCTGACCTCTTCCCTGCATCTTTCTGCAATCTCCTTTAGTGCCTCCACCTGCCCCTTTAACCTCTCTGCTTCAGCCTTGTGCTTTTCTGCCTCCAGTCGCCACTCTGATTCCCATCGAGACAAATTACCTCCTCTGTCTTTTGATCTGCATAAAAGGAAAGAGACCACATTAATATGTCCATATTGCCACCCAAGTGACAGACCATATAAAACATGTAGTGGATATACCTGGCTCTACAATCTGAACGATAATCAGGGGTCCTTATGCTGTCTCCTTGTAGCATCAAGATCCTCTGATTTTCCTTCCTCAGCTCCAAGATTTCCTGTTGGGCCTGATTGATGGCAAGCCATGGATTGGCAGGACTTGGCTCCCCTGATGATGGTGCTGATATCATGCCTTGGTTTATCCAGGAGATGGGTGGCTGTGTCGCCGGGATTTGATCACATCTGTTTGCTCCAGCAGAATGGGCACTTGATGCAAAATGCGATGGGGGTATGAGGTCCTCCGGAGTCTCCCCTTCATAAAATAAAACAGTGTCTATGTGCCTGCATGCATTAGCTACTCTAATCCAATATAAGGTTCCCCATGTTCCCAAACAAGCATATTGTTACGCTAAGCTCAGTAAAGATAAACATGACAGCTTCCTAATCGTGAAGTATAAAATCACTTTTACTAGTTAAACATGAGTTCATGTAAGCGCCAAGTGGGCTACACTGTAAGCTAACATTTGCTAATAAACAGTTTATTTAGCTCAACCGTAACAAGAATTTAGGTGCAACTTACTCGGAAGTACTGGTGAGGTGAAGTCAGTGGGCACTATCAGCCTCTCCTTCCCTAAAGTTTGTCTCTCCATGTTAAATAACTATTGCCATTACACAGGAAGGAAACAGTACACGGCTGCCGTGGTGCGTTTAGCGTTTGTTCTCCCGCGAGTCACGTCATTCTTCACCGTTGCCTTAGTTACGGGTACAACAGCAACATTCAGAGCTCTCGATTTGGGCAATTTCTGGTCGTGTCAGTCGTTATTTTCGGTTCAAATAACCCACATTTTAAGGTTTCTATGGTACATGTATATACGTATATGAAATTCAACAAATTTAATAGTTCATTTAGGCATAACTGTTACATATTGAAACGGCGCAGTGCATCGTGGGAAATTGGAAGGAGCGTATAAATATAATTGGGTTCTCATTTCCCTAATTGTAGTCTTGCAGGAGTTCTTTTTTTCACGTAAACTGCCTTTAAATATTCCCTAAATCGTAACCCTGCATTGCCGCCTATTTGTATGCGTTTCAGTGCAGTGTTTGCAGCGTCGACTGGAAGAGCTCTCCTGATAGACCAAATTCAGGGCGTAATCCTTAAACGATAGCACCATCTGTGGGTGGAACACAGAAGGTATACTGTGATGGGTAGCATATGTTGAGAAGAGGGGGCACTGAGGACTAAATTAACTGTCCTTCTGGGCAAATTTAAATTCGAAAATATTTTATTTAGATGAAAACATTGAGCAACAGACACTAGTTAGAAAAACTATGAAAACAATATGATATATGAGCTTTCCTGTCCCTTTGTGCAGAAACCACAAGTTTCGACAATAAGAAACACACATTATCATATTTATTATAGGAGAAATATTTATAAGTTAAATAAATCATTAGTCTGTGTCATTCCATTCTTTTGGAGGTGGTTACGTGAGCCATTTATATTCAGGCATTATCTAGATGTAAAGGGATACCATTTAGATAATTAGTGGTAAAGGGTCTCATGTAAATGCACTTAATGAGGTGATAACCTAAAATTACAACATTCCTTCTTTGCCTGGGACTCCCTCACCTCAAGAACACCCAGGGGTGTCTGACAGCCACATCATTTCTGCATAATACAGCCGGCCTTGCAGAAAAGGGCACTCTGAGCAGGCTCATAAGTGCAGGTTTGAATAGCAATTGGTGATAATTTGGTTACGTAACAGAATTTTTGGGGGTTGAGGGGCGTCTATAAATATTTTACCCACAACTGTAAAATCATTAGTATCCTTATATAATTCCAATTACCAAATTTCGGTAGATTACTCATGTGTTACTTTCCTCCAGTGATGCACATTTTGTGCACACAACATTTGTGATTTAAATCCACAAACTGTGCACATGTGACCACCTTCAGATAAAATCCTGTCTAACATTGGCTATCTAACAGTCATGATAACAAGCATATTTCACGTATCCCGTTGTATTATTTTCCCCAGATGTCTGCAGCAAACATTTGTGTTTGCTGTTACCTACAGTATATCCTGTTTTCTGTTGCTGCTATGACCCACTTTCCCCCTGGGGTTCATTAAAGTTTTATATCATCTATTTATGGCATTTTTGAGCAACACAGAGACCTTTTAGGTTGATTCATTTCCATAAATGATCACAAATAAATGCAAGATGATATGGTACACCGCCGAGAAAATGTCAGTAGAACATGATAGCGTTCATCTTGCATAAAATCTTTAATGTGGTGAAAGGGCGGATTGGGGAGTACAGTGGGAGTGATGTGCATTGTTTGGACATGCTGATATTGTATCTTCTTACCACAAGGCGGACACTGCAGCATAGGTCCTGAGGAACATCGCAGAGGGGAAGATGGATTGAGAAGGGCAAAGGGAATCAAAAAAGAAAGACAATACTCACCTTTATCAAAAAGCAAAAGGGAGAAAGAGAATTAGTATGTAAGCTTTGTTTCTACAATCAAGATGAGCATTGACCACCTGCAGAGCATTAAACACGTAGTACATGAAAGCTATAAAGGCTATTTTGATAAAGGCAGGCAGCAAATTGATCTGGGTCCAGACTGAAATGTTCCTTGTTGGGCTCTAGCAGGGCTCTTGAAGCAATAGTGAAGAGGTCTGCTTTTTGTTCACTCTTCAGTTCTCTTAGGTAAACCGTAGAACAAGCAGAACCTACAGAGAACCCCATTTCAACCACAGCACTGAGCCAACTCTCCAACTTCTGCAGACTTGCTTTTCTGATTAGAGCCTTCGCTCTTCTTTTTGAATTCAGTTTGTTTTTATTGTATCACGGTGTCACATGAGTCCCATACTCCTCTAACTGGTCTATAATTTTCCCAGTATTTTAGATTTTAAACTAAACCCAAATTTTGGGTTAAAATGCTCAGATCTCCATTTGTGAAAAACTGGTTCCTCATTAGTCAGTGCATCTCATACTTTTCCCCTCCCAGGTGGATGTGTCTGTCTGCTTCAGTGACAGTGACCTGTTTTTGTTACCACAAGGGCATTGCCAGCTGTGTACAAACAAATACTGTCAGGTCAGCATTTCTCTGCCTTTTCTAAAAGCAACTTAAGCAGGATCATTCCTAACCCATCTGGCAGCCTTACAAATCTTACGCAGGAGCTCACAGGTGAGTGTGTGACCCAGACCTGGTACCACAGGGTCAGGCAACACTGATTAAAAGGAAGATGTGGGTCTATCAGGCCAGCTGTAGGATTAAGACTTCAGGCTAGAGAGGTCACTAAGAAATGACCTGGTAGATTTATTTCTGGCTTTTTTTGACTGAGTTAGGCATATAACGCTAAAATTCAATAAATGGCTACTGTTAGGTTTGCAATGTTTTTGTCCTTTGATAACCAATAGTATTCTGTTCATGTGGTCAGATGCGTTTGAAACTCATTGTAATAAACAGGGATTGTTCCCTGCATGGGAACCAACATATATGCAAAATATTTTCATTTCTGTAAAAAGCTTTCATTTGTAACCCAGCTTGAAGCACACTACACTGGGCAGCATCTCTCTCCAAGAAGTCTAGAAATGATCCCTCAGCTGTGCATCACAGCTGTGACCACTGGGCATTATTAAAAAAAAAAAGGATATGTGGGGGAATATGTCTGCCCTGTCAGCAACTGCCCAGACTTTGTCTCATAACTCATCTGTATCGTTGGGACAGATTCTAGTGTGATGTTCATATTTTTAGATTTAGTTTAACCACTGAATGCAACAAAAGCATAAGCCCAATTCCCCACATACAGGTGCTTAAACAGAAAGTCAGCAAGCTAGAGAAAAACAAAAAACAATTACTGGAATGATCTGTTTTTTGGGGAAGATATATTTTCCCCCTTACCTGTCATAGACTGGTTTCCTAGCACCTGTGGTCATTTTGGCTCACAGCATTTAACTAGTTTTTTTGTTTGTTTGTTTGTTTGTTTGTTTTTTGCATCTTCAGTCTTTGTTTGTGTAGTGTAGCTCTAGTACGAATAAGATTTTTTAATGACTCTACTACGAGGGGGTGATCAGGTCTAACATGTGCTGCAAAGCATGGGATAACACTGGAGGGTGGTTTGCAACATTTTCTATTTTGCCGTTGTTGTCACAATTTGCTAAAAAGGCTTTTGCCAATGCAAATGTGTCTGTGATATCTCTCTCTCTCTCTGTCCGTGCAGGCCTGCTCACTTTACTTTTTGATGTGGTCAGTCGTAGATGGGTTTTACCTCTACACGAAACGTGTGCGCCCATGAGTGCAGTCCGAGGTTAAGGTGCTTACTTAATGGTTTCTAAATTGGGATTCAGTCGGGTTTTTTGGATGGTGAATTTAATGCACCGGCGTATCCTGGTGGTTGCCTAGTAACGCGCTAGCAGTGGGCGCCGTAGAGAGATCTCTATGGTGGGCGCTCCATTAAAACCGTTGGCGCTCCTGACCTTGGCGTCGTGAATGCGCAAAGCACACAGACTGTGCGAAGCAGGAGATAAGAGTGAAGATCTGCGCGTTTGATACCGAAACCGGAGAAATATTCCACTCACACTCACACACACGCACGAAACATATTGTTTTATGTAACTGACGGGCATAGTATGGAGGAAATCTCGAGATGGAGCGCGTCTTAGCTTGTGAATAAGCAGGTGAGTTAACCTAATGATTCTGATCTTTTTAATTCCTTTTTTCTTCTCTCCATGAGACGAATCTTTGTTCAGATTGATCACTGACATCTGGGTTGACTGTGTTCTTTAAAGCGATTGCTTTGCGATTTACCACAGTGGCTCTTTTCTGTGCTCGGTGTTTTATTTTCCCCATTTTATCCAATATTACACCGTCCTAGACCTAGATTAAACAAGCTTCCCAGTCACAACGTGAGGCGCGCGCGCGCACACACACACACACACACACACACAAACACACACACACACACACACACACACACTACAGCAGTTTGTCGATGCTACGTGGGCTGTGGCTTGGTTTTCTCTGGTCTGCATCCTTGCATTAATTTATAAAGCAGTGATCATTATGTTTGAGTGCTACCTACACCTTCCGCGGAGGATATTTTTTCACCCCTACACCAATCCCTGCTCCTCTTTATTGCCTTGCAAAATTAGGGGGATTTGGGAAATCCACTAAAACGGGTTTGATCCACACCAGTCGAATTACAAGGGCATTGGGAGCTCGGTAGCCCACTGTTGTCTGACACAGGCTCCTTCTCCAATCTTTTCATGTCAGGGGGGGGGCCCCGGGCTACCAGGATCCAGTCGATAAGATGTTGTTGAGATTTTTTTATTAGTGGTGAATTGGAGTTGATTTGTGTGCCTGTCAATGATGTAGGTGTAGAGATAGTAATGGTGGGAGTGAAACATGATTACAGCAATCATTCTAATAGGTTTGTAACTAGGATCAAGTCAGTCAAATGGGAATTGAAGTATTTTGGCCTCAGGGGCGCTAGGTATTCACTTAAACCACTGATGTGGCGCACCCACATGTGTGTGTGCATAGTGCAAACAAGCCTGTTAGAGTAAAACATTATGGTTGTAAAACAGTTTCTTTTTTTTCTTTCTTTTCTTTTTTTTAAAATATAACTTAGTTACTGGGTTCTGGGCATGTTGCCAGTCTAAATTGCTAAATAACTTGCGGTGTATCATACTTGACTGAGTGATAGCTCAATTTTATTACATGGCCCATTTGGTGTAAGCTATAAAGCTTTTATCCACATCTGTCCCATCGCACACCAGAAGAAGTTGGGAAAGCAGTATGCAGGCGCTTTGACTGTCTGCAGTGACGTCAGTGAAACAAAATAAGTATTTTATATGAGGTACAGCCCCAAAAGAAACCACCTCAGCTTTGCTCCGACACTTAAATTAGGACTCTGATTGGATGTCAGATGGAGAAAAACGTACCGATGGGTTGAAAGCAACACTGCAAATGTGTGATGAGGAAGGTAATGCCTCTCATTTTAAGTCCACATATTATCTCCTCGATCTCCAGCATTGCCCTTTTTTTTGCTGCTTCTTAAACCAGAGACAACTAACCAAGTCTGACTAGTGATTCCCTCTGTACAGCATGTTACCGCTAATTTCATAATGGATAATGATTTCACAGCAGGTTTTGTGAAGAGAGAGAAGGCTTTTTCACCTCTAAATGGATCCAAATGATTTATTATCTGTGACACTTTCAAACCAGGAGATGTGCCCTGATATACAGAAGAGAAAAAAAAAGAAAAAAAATCTGCCTCTTTATCTTTCCCATTTAAATGTCGTGGGAGCTGTACATCATTGTCGTATAAAAGATAGGGGATAGAACAAGTCTTGTCCTTTTTGGCTTTTGGTGGAACATTCATAACTGTTAATTAATACAGACAAAGCTGGCCCCAGGCACAGATCTACAATATTTCTCAAATGAACCTCGGTGCTAGTGTGAGAATAAAAATGTATCTGAATTGTCTCATTGCCTGGAAATGGGAATAATGTAATGATGTTCATATTGGTTGATGCACAGCACCTGCAAAAGAAAAGGACGAGCTGCCTCTGTTTGTGTCCCTGCCAGTGTAAACAAAATGTTGCAGAGAACAAGGAAAACCGGTGCGCCACAGCTATGGTTAATTAGTGTTTATAATAGCGGGAAGAAACTGCTCCCTTTCTTATTAGTTAGGTTCATCGGGTTAAAAACGGAGCTGTTTAGCAGCAGGCTTTGACAAACCTCAGTGAAGTGCTTATCAATAATCTAAATAGGTTAACAAGCTTGCTTTTGCTTTGCCTATTGACATGCCAGTGTGAACCTGATGTTAAGCACATCACACCTACTGCTGTCCTAGACCATAAGGACTAAGATGGGATGAATTTTGTATTAGAGCATTGTTAATTGGATGAGAAACTATGCATTTTATTCTCTATAGGTCTCCATGGGGTAAGGTTACACTTTATTTTACCACTGTGCACACATGTGGTTGGGGTGGCTGTGTGTGACGCTTACACACCAGTAACTACTTATTATTAGGTACCTGGTGATTGCATTTGCAGTGAGGTACGAGATAGACTAATATGTGTTAATATGTGTTCAGTGACTTGAAGGACTAACAGGTCAAAAATCAAGGAATTCATTTTGCAGCTTCCATTGTTTTGCGCTTTGCAGTTATGCAGTTCTTCTAGGAAATGAAAACTGTAGTGGTTAAAAACTAGAAAAGGCAGTAAAAATCCAAAAGCTAAAATAAATCATCCTGCCTTGAACTCTCCATTCACTGACTTACCATTTATGACACCTGAAAGTAGTGGAAGCAAAAAGTGCAGAGCAGTTACAGACATAAAGGCTTTTCGAAATACTCCACCCTGTGGAGAGCTTTGGGTCCCATCAGGCATGTTTGTTCTGCGAATGTTCATCACTTCCATTATGTATCATGTCAACAGCTGACAGTACTGCTTAGATGCACTGAAAGACTTTAAAAAAAAGAAAAGAAAAAGACTGCACTTATGATTTGGGGTTTTTGAAATAAATTAAACACTGAAACATTCCAGTCGAGTCATATTTATTCTCCGCGAGCGCACCGTTTTTTAATCTTGCTTTGGTACTTATCAAAGATTTGTCTCTTCTGCTCTGTGTTGCTTTTACATAAGAAATTGAGTTCTTAACACCTTTTAGCTCGAGATGGTTTCGCAGAGTCACTCCAACATCACAGCAGATGGGTTTTTCAGATTTTCCCTATCGCCTCCTCCACTGATACACAAAGATCAGTATTCAGTGATTTGTGCATGAGCAAGCATAAAAAGGTTATTATCAAGCCAGTGTGTGCGTTTAGCGCTAAACTGGAGGAAGGTAATGCTTTTATTAAAAATATCATTTATGTGGATATTTTTTGTTTTTTTCACTCTTTTCACACATTTTCATGTTTTTCTGGTCTAATTTGTCAAATCCTCTCATTTTCAGATCTGTGTTCCCTGCAATGAAAGCTGGAAGTGGGGGCGCTCGATACCTGGTTGAGGTGTATTCGGATTTTATAACTGTCAGATCTAAAGGCGCAGTGAGTGATGTCTGGTTGACAGGGTCAGTGCAGAGGGACTGAATAGACACTAAAGTGTGCATTTGTGTTGTGCAAGGGCACCATCTTGCCCAGACCATGTGGCTGGCTACATTTAGAGACCATCTGTTGCCTGCACACCTGCTACATCGGCAAGGGACTGTAACCATCACCCATTGTGCTCTTCTTTGGTGGATATTATGTTCCTGCTGGTCACTGACCAGGGCAACGAGCCAGAAATTTTACCCAACTGTGACCACCCAGTATGGGAAACTGCGCGGCCTCAGGGTTCCTGTGCCCAGTGAGGTCCTCAGGCCAGTAGATCAGTATCTCGGGGTCCCCTATGCTGCCCCACCTCTGGGCGAGAAGCGTTTCATGCCCCCTGATCAGCCCTCCTCCTGGTCAGGTATCAAGAACGCTACCCACTTCATGCCCGTCTGCCCTCAGAACATCCACAACACTGTGCCAGAGATTATGATGCCAATATGGTTCACCTATAACCTGGACACAGTGGCCACATACATTCAGGATCAGAGCGAGGACTGCCTGTATCTAAACATCTACGCTCCAACAGACGATGGTGAGTTGGTGTGGTAAAAAGGACAGCGATGGCGTTCCACGTCCATTGATCACTGTTTATCGTGGCCCTGATGTTGTGCTGTGATCATCATAAAGCATGCGTGTAACCAATATCCATGCCACTGCTGCTAGCAAGGGCTGATTTACTGCCCAGTGCAATGTCATCATTGTCTGACATGTTGCTGTCACATTAGGGGTAATGATTTGGTAGGCAACTAAAGAGTTTTCCCTGATGCCACTTAATTGATCCTCTGCATACCTAAACATAGACCGACTGAGGCATGTGCATGCTCTCCCAGCAACAGATATCGAGTGAAGTACTTCAGAGCCAAGGTGTTGTTCAAGCACTGGTCCCCCCTTTAACTAAATGAGATTTTTGGTATTTTTTTTTAAAATAACGAGCCTACAGCACCAGTGGAAATTACAGCAGTGCTAGTAAAAGTAAAAGTGCTAGCTTTCCATGTTTTCTAAAACTTCTTTAAAATTACCGAATCACTGCTTTGCTCCGACAGCATGTCTGCTGGGGGCTAATTAGTGAGGTACAGGAGTCAACCGTCTATCGCATGCTGAATCCCCTCCTATTCTTCTAACTAATAGAAGTGTGAAATGAACCAGCGAGGAAACATTTTGAGTGAATCTGCAAATTAGCAGCACAGTGTAACACCACGGTAATGCTGCGTGTTCCCTAAATCAAATGTTGACAAACAGAGGTCTTTAATTCAGGTTACTTCAATTAGGTTTTGGTTTCTTACAGTTACAGCTTCCCTCCAGAGTATTTGACATAATGGGGGCGGGGGGGAGCTGAAAGTTTAGCCGTGTTCAACTTGTAAGATGCCACGCTTTGACTGGCTTTTCTCTGGTAGCATAGCAACAACAGATAAACAGCCTCCTTGAGAGGTAGCAGTCCAAAATGGTGCAGCCCCACAGCCCCTCGAATGAGTTCCTCCAACAGGCCTACTCATCTGGCCACAAACAGGTTAAATAACACATTATTTCAGAGAAACATTGCCCTTTTCTTCTATACATTTTTCTCTCTTCAGACTTGTTCATTGTTTATTTAAAAGGCACCTGGGGCATGCTCTGACTTTATTACCTGTTTCACTGATGTGAAACCCCTTTTTCACTTACCTCCAGTGGTCTGTCTCGTCCTGTCACATTACACAGGCTGTTTCTGAATATTGCACTATTCACAGTTTTATCACTATTCACCAAAACACTATATACCTTATATTCCACTCCCTTTGCAAAGAATCAACGTGACACTTTGTCTAAATATAGAGAGAAGGATGAACCAAGATACGTGTATCCTTCGCTGTCACAGTTACTGAAGCGTTCAAAGGCAACAGCATGTGTATGTGCATGTGTGCGTACTTACAAAAGATTTAACGGGTAATACCAATTTGTTAAAACCTGAATTATAAACAGTAATCATTTTGTGTCATAATGTTAGCGTCTTAACACTAACATTATACCTAACTTCATCTACCTTTTTTGTACCGAGGAAAGTCTGGACCGACAGTATATTATTTAAGAGGCACAGTCAACCATGCTATTTTGAATTCTGTACTTCTTTTTTTTTTTTTCTTATGTGAATCCCAGGGAGCCAACACAAGAAAAAAGGGGCGGCTGAGATACATATATCTGAAGGTATTTTTAAGAGCTCAAAGTCTTGATGCATGGATTCTTTTAGTTTCATGAAGATCTTACACTCCTTTGTTTTGACTTTCCTAAAGAACTGCGGGGGTTTCTTTTTATTTGAAGAGGAATAAGAAAAATGTTATCCGGTTTATGATTACATAAGTTTCCTGTTAGTGCATCTCGGTCTTGTACTGAACACAGTTGCAATCCTTTCAGTAAGTGCTATATCTCTATTTTCATGCACATTGATCCAGAGATTGCATTATTACTTATCTGTCTTATAGTCCTTTGTAAAGACAGTCATTCGTCAATATAATAAATTGGCCCCAAAACATGAAATATAGATTTTCTGTTCATAGCGAAAACAGAGGACTGTTTCCTTCTTAGCTCATACTAATAAATAGAAAGAGCTCAGAGTAGTGTGACACCTTCCACTTCATATCTATAAAGTTAGGTCTAAACATAGACAGTCTCAAATTTGTGGGTTTTTAATATTGCTTACGCATGCATGTTATACATAATGCTTGCTCCCGCACCTCACATGCACTATAGAAACTGTGGTTAATTATTTATTATTCATACACACGTGTCAGAGCATATTTGCCATTTGTCATTACAGCTTCCACACCACAGGCCTCCCACCCTAGCTTGCTTCTGAGCACATTTCCTAAGCAGTCTTTTCCCATACCTCATACTGAAGTGGTTGGGCCATAAAGTTTTAGTAACAGTTCTCCTTTAAGTCTACATTTCACTGCTGTTCCACCCCCACCTCTGCAGGTGTTTGCCTAGCATCTGTGTGTGTGTGTGTGTGTGTGCGTCGATGTTGCAGATATAAGGGACTCCGAAGCACGGCCCGTGATGGTCTACATCCATGGAGGCTCCTACATGGAGGGCACCGGCAACATGATGGACGGCAGCGTTTTGGCCAGTTATGGAAATGTTGTCGTCGTCACGCTCAACTACAGAATTGGAATACTAGGTGCGGTACATTTTAATGGCATTTAAAACAACACATTTAGTCCTGCTTGAACTTGGGAGAATAAACTGTCACCGCTGTCATTAGCGTCAACTGTGCTGCTGTCATTACCGTATAAAATGTAGTACAGACATGAGAGAAAACTATAGTGGAAAGCTGTACAAGGAAATATAGCTTCCTGAGATCTGGGTAGCATAGTGTAGCTTGGTCTGCATACAAATGTTGTCTTCAGAGGAAAAGCTATGCAAACACTTATCATGCCATGTCCTTGTTTCACACAATCTGTTTTATACCCACTCTGAAAACACAATTTATCTTCTTTTAGATGGATTTATCTAATCTGTACAAGATTATCAGCCTTTCTTCGAAGTAAAACAATTTAAATGCGCCATTCGCAGGCATTTACAAGGTCGAGAGCCCCCCCACACCCTCCACCCTGTGTTGAACATTCAAAACAGTAAGGTGTTTGGATGAGACTTGACAAGCAGATCAGTAACAAGAGCAAGTGTAAGAGCAACGGTGACCTCGCTGTAGTTTAATGACATTTATTTCTGGAAATAAAAGGTTTATTTACATTACATTAAACGTTATGAAGTCACTCTTATGAGGAGAGCATTGAAATTTCACGAGCAGCGGAGCCTGGATCGCTTGGTAAGGGGCGCTGCTGCTTGGAAGACTATTACAAGGAGTCGGCTAAGGTAGTGGAACGCTGTGGGAGAGAGCAAAGGCATATTTACACCTGAGGGGGAATGGTGTCAGTTCATTCAGACTCCCCGCTGGGCTACAGCTTTAGATCAAAGCTGTGACATATTTGGTCGAGCTCTTCTTCATCACTGGCTCTGTTGTCTCTCTGTATACACCAGGCTTCCTCAGTACCGGTGACCAGGCAGCAAAAGGAAACTACGGACTCCTGGACCAGATTCAAGCCCTACGCTGGATAAGTAAAAATATCGGGTACTTTGGAGGAGACCCCAGTCGCATCACGGTTTTTGGATCTGGAATTGGTGCTTCCTGCGTCAGTTTGCTGACTCTATCCCACCACTCAGAGGGTAGGAATCTGCAATCACTGTTTTTGAAGTTGTCTCTCACTTTGATGTGGTGTTAATCCCTGCTGTTTGGGCTATAACTAATGCAAAAATTCAGCACCAGTATATCAATGAACCTGAGGTTTTGGCGGGGGGCAGTTTTAGAGTTTTGTTCTCCAAATGAAGCTCCAAATGCTCTGGCAGGGAGATGAAGTGTTATGATATGGGAGTAGGGTAAAGGGGGTATTCGTTAAGTAAGTGATTGCTTTTGTTCCCCTCTACTCAATCTAATCAGGCTAAAAGCTCTGCCTCTTAAAACGTGAAGCTCTTAAAGAAGCCTACTGGCATTATAAAGTTTTCAGCATGTCTTCGAGTTCACCTGTGACCATCAGTTTTTACCATTCCAACTCATTTATATTTCAGTCTCTCGGCGTGATGTTTGTTTACCCTTGTGTGCCTACCTGCAGCGTCCGAAAATGATTTAAAAATACCAACGATGTTGTGTGTTTGTCGTCCGTCATTGCAAAACCTTGAGCGAAGACATTGTTTACCAAAGACAAGGTTGGCATGAGAATGAAGCAGTCCGAATTCTTAAGATATTCTCATTAAAAACTGATAAACCCCTCCTCCACGGCTCTGGCTCTCTCTCTCTCTCTCTCTCTCTCTCTCTCTCTCTC